AAGTCCCTCAGCAATGAAATAGTTTCAAACTTTCAAAAATTAATCATACATAAACTACTTGTGAGCAACTATTTTGTGGAGCCAATAGACAGTTCTCTAAACATCAGTAAACAAATGAGGAGTACGGGAGCACAACACAAGGAAATTAAAAGATGAAGCACAAAACGAGGAGGAAATATAGCACGTGAATAAAGTACCTGTGAACTAATTTCAACCTGACCATTTTTGATATTGCGAACAGGATGATTTCCTCCATGATGACCAAACTTCATTTTATAAGTTTTACCACCTAATGCTTGGCCCAGCAATTGGTGGCCCATACAAATTCCGAAAATCGGGACTTGTCCAATTAATTCCTTTACTGTATCAACAGCATATGGAACTGCTGAAGGATCCCCTGGACCATTGCTGAATAGAATGCCATCTGGTTGCAATTTTAGTGTCTCTGATGCTGGCCATGTTGATGGAACAACAGTAATTTTACATCCATATGATGCCAGACGCCTCAAAATGTTATGCTTGATACCAAAATCATAGGCAACCACCTTCATTTTGAAAACACAGCCAGAAAGAATTGATCAATGAAAGTTTACAACCAAATATAGGGTCAATACAGCAGCAGATGCAAAGCACAGACCTTGAAAGTTTCTCCAGGTCTCCCATTTGTATTAAATTCCCAATCATTGCCAGTTTTGTCAACCCACTCATAAGGAGCTTGACACGAAACACCACTTATCAAATCAACACCTGCAATATTGTAATCAGAGTTTAAGATAAAAAATAAATAGACAGCCTAATCCATTTTCAACACCAAGTAAACATTACCAACAATGTCCCAAGAACGAGCCATTTCTAATAACTGGTTGTCTGATTTTGATTCTTCCGTGCTCAACACACCAATAAGGCTCCCATCTTCCCTCAATCTACGGGTGATAGCACGAGTGTCAACATCATCTATTCCACAATAGACAGTTTGACAGAAAGTCAAAAGGCAAGCAAATGCAAACTAACTACTAATGCATGTTCTTTGCCAATCAAAATTTCCAAAATTTTGGCTTTTAGCTTACATATACCCATGATGTTTCTTTTGGATAAATAATCTCCAAGTGTCTCAACACATCTCCAGCTTGAAGTGCTGCATAAACAAGAAAAAGATAAGCACATATGGAATGATTGGAATCCTTCAGAAAAGCAATTACCAAGGTAATAATGCAAATAATCCGACCTGATGCTTAAGCTTCTAATCACCAGACCACCAAGAAAGCATTGACTTGATTCTTGATCATCTGCAATGATTGAATCCTAATCTAGTTACACATATTTGACAGATGAATAGGCAACAATTGTAAATTGTGTTGCACAGATATGGAAACAGGTAAACAGGAAGCGTATTGAAAACAGATACATCAGTCCTGTAATGCTACTCCATGCATCAGAGGAAATAAACATTACTCACCAAAATTCACACCAGTATTCCCTATATGAGGATTAGTCATCAGTACAAACTGGCCAGCATAACTAGGATCAGTTAGAATTTCTTGATACCTGAAATACAATACACTTAGACTACAAACCAAGCCAAGGGTGGAAGCAGGTAATTAAACGTCAGCAAATGAGAAAAACTTTTAACAGACGGAGTCCACTCACCCAGTCAATGAAGTATTGAAGACCACTTCACCAACTTGCGTCCCAGCAGCACCAAATGATTTGGCCTTCCAAATGGTACCATCCTCTAGCACAAGTCTAGCATCTGATACCTTCCACGGTCGGCCTCCTGACCCTGTGGCTGACAAGAAATGATGTTTCAGATATGATTATTGGACAGAATACTGGAAAAGAGCAGAAAGAGAGTAACAAACTAAGCATTCATGAAGCATATCAATTTTCAGTTGGCAGCAGTAACAAACAATTGACAAATATCAACCTAAATTGTGTGTTAAGGTCATTAACAAACATGAGCACACAAGTAAAGAGAGAGACACATTCTTATCTGAGCCTCATATTCACATATTTCAACCCAAGTAATTCAAAACTTAAACAAACCAAAAAAAAATTAGTTCCCATTCTCAGGTGAAACCAACCGCAACACAACCTAATTAGTTCCGTTGCCTAAAAACTTCCACCACAACAACAGTGTCATCTATAAAAAAAACTTAACTTGAAACGGGGGGGGGGGGGGGGGGGTTATCAGCTAATAGGAGCTGACCCAATTTATATTAATCTCAAAAATGTGAGTGATAAAGTTTTATTCTTTTTGGGTACTAATAGCAGCAAACCAGCTGATGATAAAAGACTACTGAAGATCAATATTGTTAACTACTGCCAAACTATTGTAACTTGCTGATTAAAGATTTAGACTGCATTTGTCTCGTATAATTAGTTTGCTAATCCTGCACCCAATTCAGCAGTGTATAATACGAATTTTCAATTACAAACCACTGATCCAGTCCATTACTTACCATTAGCAATGCAAGTCAGCAATATGCAATACTAGTAAATCAAAAAGTAAGAACTCAAATCGTTCAAACCACCATTTCATGTTTTGAGCAAATACTTTGTAATATAAAAGAATGCTCATAAATAAATACCTGAAACAGCAGCATTTTCGGTGAGAGAAACAACAGAGCACTTGACCCTGAACAACTTAACATCTCTTTTTTGAGGAGAGCAAATTCCCAAAGGAATTGCCACTGCAAAATCCATTGCTCTACATGCCATAATCAATTTCTTTCCTGAATAGAATTAAAACTAACAAATTTCAGGTATTATACTCAAAATATAATAACCCAATACAATCTCTACCAAAAACCCTTAATTTATCAGGAAATTAAGAAAGAAAAATTTCAATTAAAATTGAAAATTAAAACATTAAAGTGAAGCTAAATACAGGTAAAATGGAGAAGAGTAACGAGAGAGAAGAGGGTGGCGGATATACCACCGGGAATGAAGAGCGGGGCTGAGAGGAAGACGGAGTGGTGACTGGTGAGTGTGGAGCAATACTATTTAGGGTTTATGCTATTTTGTTTTTGCAATGTTTTGGCAGGAGGGTTTTTCTTATTCGAATGCTACCAATCTTAACCATTCATTTCTTTCACCATGAGTATGTATTACTGTACAAACTTTACTCCCTAATTTTTAATCTTAATAGTATGGATGGAGTATAGATGTATAGTGGAATAAAGTATTGAAAATGTAATAGAAGTACTTTTTTATTTATTTTTTTATGGAAAATTTGCAAATTGCAGCCATTTAAAGTTCGTATTTTGTAAATTGCAGCCATTTAAATAAAAAATTGCAAATTGCAGCTCAAAAATTCATATAAATTGTAAATTGCAACCCGATTCAACTTTTTCATCAATTTACAAGTTGAAAAATTTTCGATTAAGGTTTTAGGGGCCATTTTAGCTCTTAGGGGACCGAATTGAGCTCAGAATTAGCAAAAAAATAACCCAAGTATCTCGTTTTGCGTAACAAAAATGTATCGATTTGTGGAAAACTGTAAATATGAGACACTTACGTTATTTTTTTGCTAATTCCGAGCTCAATTCGGGATCCTAAGGGCTAAAATGACCCCTAAAACCTTAACCGAAGATTTTTCAACATGTAAACTAATGAAAAAATTGAATTAGACTGCAATTTACTATTTATACGAACTTTTGGGTTGCAATTTGCAAAAAAAAAAATTAAATGGCTGCAATTTGCAAAATACGAACTTTAAATGGCTGCAATTTGCAAATTTTCCTTTTTTTTATCTATTAACAATTACTAAAACAGAAGTTGCTGACATCACCCACCACTGTCCACGTGACGCTTTCTCAATAAAAATTGGGGGTTACTAAATGCCACAATAAAATTACTTAAGGCGCGGTATTAAATGACTCATCTACCCTAATAAATTCCATGTTTGACATCATTCAATTTTTCTCACTAACCATACTCCTTCCACCACCATCACCCTAAACACCATTACCACCACCACCCTAAGGTCGTCGAAATCACCATCACCCTAGACACCACCACCCGAAGGTCGTCGAAATCATCCAATCTTCTCACTATATATCACGCCAAATCAACCACTTATCATACCAAATCAACCGGAAAAAGGAAGAGGCTGGCGACAATGGAATCGCGGCGTGGGAAGAGGGTTCATTTGCCGGGAAATGTGGGGGAAAACGCCGACCAATTTGTCGGTAAGTTTTTTTTTTTTAATTTTCACTAGATTCGCATAGTCGCGTGCTATATGCGACTCCACCACGGCATAGTCGCATATAGCATGCGATCAGGGTCGTCCTAACCTTTTTGGAGGCCCTGTGCAAAAATAGAATATAAAATTTGGCTTATGAATTTTCTCTACTCACGGTACATTTTTTAATACAAGAAACAAAATCGTTGTTCTTCACAAATCCGGAAAAAAAAAATACATTTTGTAAAAAAAAAAAGGACTTTAGTGAGAATTGAACCAAGGACCTCTTGCAAGTGAAGATGGTAGAGCTCATGAAACCACTAAGGCATTATTAGTATACATGAATAATTTTAGGAAATTTTGTAAATTACCACCCAAAAAGAGGTCCAGTTTTGAAATTACCACCCATTAAAAACTTTATTTTAAATAACCACCCATTAAATTAATTAATCTTTCAGATTACCACCCATTTTGATTTTCCGGTTGAAAATCCGTTTGAGGGGCCCACCCTATTAACTTCCCTCCTTTTTTTTTCTTCTTTTCTTCGACCTAACTTCCATTAACCACATAACACAGCTTCTCTCTCCAATTTCCTCACTGAAATCATCTAAATCCATCAATTTTTTCCTATTTCTTCCTTTATTTCTCTGTCAAATCCTCAACGACTCCTATACAATTGAGTTAAAACCCTATTTCTAAGCTTTTTTCCCGGAAATTGAATGCGTTTGGTGGACTTGCATGTATTGGTAAAGTCGCTATGTTGAAGTGATCTGGGGACCAAACGTGATTTTGAAGCTCGTGGGTACTGCTGATGTCAATGGCGACTACTGAGGTAAGCAATTTTGACCCTATTCAATTGAATTTTGTATATGTATGTTGTTGATGGTATAATTGCAATTATGCGAAAAATTAGGGTTAAATGTGTAATGGGTTATCTTCACAATTGTTTATTATTGCAATTTGAACTGTAATTGTTGTTTGATTGGGTGTTTATTGTTTAATTATGCCACATGTGTTGAATTGAATAAACTATGGTGTTGTGTGGGTGAACTGTAGACTGCCAAGTATGGTTTATTCATTAGTGGCTTATTAATATGAACAGGTACTAGGTAAACAGGAATGTTTGGATGTTAAGGTTAGATTAGGTGGTGGGTTTGTGAAAAAAAAATTAAAGGGAAGGAATATGGTTGTGTATGAAGGAGGATGGGAGTTTTGGAGGTATGGCTGTAAAGTGAGTGACATGTCAGTGAACTTTCTCAAAGAGTGTTGCATTTGGGGTTTTGTTAAGCTAGATTTGCATGTGCCTAGTGAGTGGAATATTTAGTATTAAAAAAAAAAGGGAAAGCTTTGGTCAAATGGCAAAAGGGAAATTGTGAATGAAGAGGAAGTCAAGGGCTTTTTAGAGACCAAAAGTAAGGATGGGTTTGTTGTACTTTACTGTACAAGCTAAGACCAGTTTAGGGTTGTAACTGAAGAACCTAATACTGTTCTGCCTACCCAAAATAGTCAAAACATGAATCCAAGCCCACTGAAATTAGAAGAAGCCCTAGGTTTAAACAGGAAACAAATAAGGGGGTGACTGAGGGAGAGGAAGCTGCTGATAAGGTTGGAGATAGGGTTCCCACAGAAAGTGTTAAAGGGAAGGGGAAGCAAGGTGAGCAGGAAGGGACTTCCAGGGGGAAGAAGACAAATAGAAAGCTTGAGCTTGAATCAGAAAGTGGATCTGATTTTTCTGATTCTGAGGGGACTGATATAGATTGGGGAGCAGGGGAAGAGGAGTGTGATGATGAGGGAGTAGAAGAGGCAAGGCAGTTGGAGGTTAGTGGGAGGTAAATTTTGGAAGAAGTGAATGCTAGTTTGAAGGATGTGCAAGACAAAGAAGAACAACAAGTGTTCTTGGAAAGTCAGCTGCTACAGAATGAGGTAGCTTTGCAAACAGAGTTCACCTCTGACTCTGAGGAATTGGATAGTCCAAGAGGGTCTGATGATGAGCATGATAACAGCCCTTGGTTCCATGCTACAACACACTTCAGCAAACCAATTCAATTGGTGAAGTACCAGAAGTTTATGAACAACAATGTGGTGAGGAAAGCTCTCAGGGTTCATGCCATTGAGAATAGGTATGAATATTGGTATTTACATAATGACAGTAGCAAGATCACTATACAATGTAGGAAGAGGTGTCAATGTAAATGGAATCCCAAAAAAATGTAGACTTCCTAGTTGTACTTGTGTAGGGGGTAGGAGATGTCACTTTAAGGTGGTTGTTAGGAGGTCTGTGAACCAAGATTTTTGGCAGATTAAGAGCTTAAATTTGAAGCATAATTGTCTAAGAGATAGGAGCAATCACAACTTAACAACTGAGTACTTAGCTGAGAAGTACATTGAGGAGTTCAGATCAGATCCTTTGTGGAAAATTAAAGCTTTCAGAAGGAAGGTTTTGGGGGACCTTGGGATTGAAATAACATACAGTAAAGCTTGGATGGCAAGGGCTAGGGCTAAACTGAAGATCTATGGCTCAGCATCAGAACAATATGCTCGAGTTTGGGACTATGGGAAGGCTGTTCTTAAGTATAGCCCTGGATCTGGTTGTGTAGTAATGGTTGAGGGAGTGGAGAAGCCTGAACCTCCTTTGTTTTTGAGGATGTATATGTGTCTTGCACCTTTAGCCAAAGGGTTTTTATCAGGCTGCAGACCATTAATTGGGCTTGATGGCACTCATCTTAAGGGTCCATACCTAAGGCAGATCCTAGTAGCAGTTGGTAAGGATGGTAATAACAACATTTATCCTATTGTCTCGGCTACAGTTGAGATTGAGAACAAGGAAACCTGGATCTTTTTTCTTGAGTGTTTGATGGGCACACTTAAAGATGAAGAAGGAGGGCTTGGCTACACTTTTATGTCTGATAGACAAAAAGTAACCCTACACTTTTATGTCTGATAGACACTTTTATGTCTGCACTTTAACTTACTTATTTTGTTGATTTGTGAACAGGGCCTGCTAGAAGCTTTGAATCAAGTTGTACCAAATGCTGACACTAGGTACTGTGTGAGGCATATATGGGCTAACTTCAAGCTTCAATTCAGTGGCTCTAAATTTAAGGAGCTATTTTGGTCAGCAGCCAGAGCAACTACCTTGGTAAGCATAACTTCAACCTGTTCTTTTTGTTTTAGTCTAACTTAAAGCTTCTGACATTTTATCTAGTGCTGTTAGTAAATCCTGCTGTCAATAATGTAGGTTTGTTTGATATGTCTTGATTTTTTTTTTCACTGCACATTTTAGTTTGATTTTGAAGTTGCCATGGAATCCATTGAGTTCTTGTCTGAGGAGGCATATGAATACCTTGCTGACATCCCTCCTAAGCACTGGTCTAGGCATGCATTTAGCTCCTTTCCAAAGTCAAACATGCTTTTGAACAATGTTTGTGAGACCTTCAATGCTGTGATAAAAGAAGCTAGGGATAAGCCTATTTTGACACAAATGGAGTGGCTTAGGAGGTATATGATGAAAAGGAATCATGACAAGTGGGAGTGTTGTCAGAAAATGGAGGGCAAGGTAACTCCATATGTGAAGAAAACATTTAAAAGAATTGAACCAGTTGCAAGGCATTGCATTGTGCAAGTATCTAGGGATGATGCATATGAGGTTGAACTGAACTCTGATCTAGTTACAGTTGACCTAAGTAAAGGGACATGTTCCTGCTATCATTAGGAGCTGACAGGTATCCCTTGTGTCCATGCATATGCATGCATCATGGACAAGAGAGCAGACCCTGAAGATTATGTGGACAGTGCATATGCTGTGGACACCTATATGTTGGCTTATAGGTTTGAAGTACAACCAATGTCTGACCCACACCATCGGGACAAGGTCAACCTCAGAGCACCTATGCCACCAGCCATCAAGATCCAGCCTGGAAGACCTAAATCTAAGAAAAGAAAGCTGGAGCAGGGACAGGAGGGTGCCCAAAGCCAATCTGTGCAAAAGCCTGTGAAAAGGAGGAGTACTTGCAACAATTGTGGGCAGCAAGGTCACTATGCAAAAACTTGCAAGAACCCTACAGTTACTCCACTAGCAGTTTCTTCACCAAAAAATGGAGGAGGTAGACCCCAATCTGATAGTGACTAGGTGAAAGAACAAAGAAAGAAGAAAAACCTCAGAGCATTGCAGATGGTAACACTCAAAGCAAAGTGGATTTTTATTTTTTTTAGTACTTAGCTGATATGTGTTTCTAACTACTGTTCTGTTGTATGCCAAAATTAGGAAAGTGCACTAGATGCTACTGCTGGACCTAACAGCATTGGGAATAGGACATTCCCTCAAGAGCAATACAAGAAGGAGCAGCAGCAGAAAGCACAGCAGAAGCAACAGCAACAACAACAACAGCAGGAGCAACAAAGTCAGCAGACTCAGCAGAGTCACCAGCAAGAACCTTTAAGTCAACCAAGCCAAGCCTCAACAACTACTTATGATAACACTGTTCCAACTTGAATGAAATACAAGATTCAAGGTGGTACCAATTAGAAGGTGTTAGTGTTAGTTTCTCATATTTTGGATAGTATGTAATTAGAAGGTGGTAGTGTTAGGTTGTATTTTGTGACTTGTGTAATCTTGGATGCTGTTTCAATGAAATTGACAGTTTGGTTTGGACAAACTTTGCCCAAATACTTAATTCATTTAGCTGCAACTGTGTTGATTAAATTGTGGTGTGCCTATATTCTATTTCCTTTTATTTTTCTTTTATAGAACAATCAACAAATAAGGAAGCTAATAAAAAGCATCAGCAAACATAACACATAAGCCAAATAAACCAGAAATACTTGTTCATTCCATTACTAAAATAACAAGTTCAACATTATAATCAACAACTACTACAACAACTACACCTCCCTTAAACCAGTTTATTAACTACAACACAACCTAAAACTAAAATTAAGGACCAAACAACAACTACAACAATCATTAGCTTGCTATCAGGATTGCCACTGCCATTGAGCATCTTCTTCCTATCTCCACTTAAAGCCTTGCATTTCACTATCAATGTATCCACCTCATTAAGAAGACACCTTCTCTGCCCACTTAAGTCATCAACATCCCTTTTCAGATAGTTCACTTCAGCTTTCATCAATTTTTTGTCAAGCAAAAGATTGTTGATCACATCTCTTTGCCACTCAGTTCCATCTTCAGTGTTAATCCATTCAAAACACTTGCACCCTCTAGTTTCAGTGTTAGGGTCATAGAATTTGCAAGCCTTGAATTTCCTTCCTGGGTTCTCTCTGGTCCAAGATGTCAACCTAGCAAAGGGCAGTCCACAATTGCATTTCTTCTGGTTAGTGGGAGATGTGTTATTCCAAGACATTTTCTAACCTGCATTTACAAAGCAACAACTCAGTTTGTGCAACATTTCCAGCAAACACAAGCAATTATATTATTCTAAGACAAGCACACCTAGTCACTGTGGTGGTTGACCCCCATAATGAGGATAACCAGGGGGTGGCCAAGTCCCATTCTGTTTCATCCTGTACTCAATGATACAGTCAGCTAAGAACCCTGGGTCATCTGTGCTCCCAACATGTATGATGTACATATCCTTATTCCCCAACCTCCTAATCATCTTGAACACATCACCATCATCTTCTAAAGTCCTATACTTCCCTTTATAGATATACTGAAATATAGGATAAAGAAGATCAATTGATCCTTCACTTGGATCTTCCATGTCACGCAGTTGATCTTCGAAAGCTATGGCTGTGTCCTGTAAGTTACTGTTGCCTACTTCATACTCAAGGTCCACAACAAAACTAAAATACTTAAATCTGAAAATGTACTTATCCCCTCTTTCCATTTCTGCAAGACATCATTCAACAAAAAACAACACAAAACCAAGCTTACAACTTCATGCATGAATGAATCATTCACATCTTTCTTTAAAAAAAAAACAACACATTTGACACCATTATTCAACCTAATAGACAATCATTCACCAAATTTGGACAACACCAACACCAATTACCAGAAAAATAACATAAACACCCAATTAATTACTTCCACGAAACCTAATTGCAAAATCCCCCAAATAAATTTACCCAGGAACCCTAATTTTTAAAGTTCAGGAGTCTTACCTCAAATGCGAATTCAATTGGGTCTGAACTTCAATGGATTAATTCGTCGCACAATACCAGTTCAAATTTGGGGAATTTGGAAGAAATTAGGGGAAGAATTTGTTAATTGGAGATATATTTTTTTTTCCAAGTAATTGTAGTTGGGAAATATATAAACACGAAAAATCAAGGAGAAACCCAGTCAATTAAGTCAAACTAGCCGTTAATAGCAGTTATGTGGGCCCCTCAAACGGATTTTCAACCGGAAAATCAAAATGGGTGGTAATCTGAAAGATTAATTAATTTAATGGGTGGTTATTTAGAATAAAGTTTTTAATGGGTGGTAATTTCAAAACTGGACCTCTTTTTGGGTAGTAATTTACAAAATTTCCATAATTTTACAACATATATCAGTTATACATTTTTAATGATCTGAGGCCCCAACCAAAGTTGGGCCCTGTGCGGCAGCTCATGTTGCACACTCTTATGGTTGGTCATGCATGCGATTACACCGTGGTGGAGTCGCATATAGCGTGTGACTACGCCACTGTACAGTTGCATATAGCACGCGACTCTACCATGACATAGTCGCATGCTATATGCGACTATACCACGATGTAGTGCATATAGCATACGACTATACCGTGGTATAGTCGCATATAACATGCGACCGGGTACAACGAAAATTGAAAAAAAAGTCCAACATATACCTGACTTGACGGTGTCGACGGTTCGTCGTCCCAACCAAGTGCCTCCGATATGAACGCCGACCGTCGTCGACTCATTTTATATGTCGTAGGTGGTGGACCATTCAAGGTGGAGTCGTGGTGTATGATGGTTAAGGTGGAGTCGTGGTGGACCAGTCAAGGTGGAGTCGTGGTGGACCGGTCAAGGTGGAGTCGTGGTATGGGTAGTGGAGCTAATGGTCAAGGTGGAGCTAAGACAAAGTTAGTAGTTAATAATGGTTGAATTGTTATGTAATTTTCAAAATTATAAGGAGCATGAAAGTCTTTTAATACTATAGCTTGAGTAATTTCATTGTGGCAAATAGCAATTCACTAAAAAATTTCCCGTCTAAATACAATGATGATGTCATTTTTTTTGTTTTGGAAAACTATCATAATTAACATTTTTGAAATTTAAATATTGGAAGCTTCTGCATTACAACTAAAATCTACCAATTTATCGTAGGAAATTGAAACAATTTTAAATAGCACACTAATAAATGACCTCCTAAACAACATTAACCAGATACTATATCATAATTTTGATTAAAATAAAAACTTTTATAATTACAAAATATACGTAATTCTTATTTATATTCATGTATAATAGCGATTTATTTTTATAATGTACAAATTAAAAATAGACTTTATACAAAACGTGCATCGCACGGGTTCTGACCTAGTTTTTCTTTTATTTTAGGAATCCTCCCTCAAATTTAATCAGCACATAGTTTTACCTTTTTTTTTTTTTTTTCTTTTTTTACAAACTAGAGCATACCCGTGCTTTACACAGGACACATTATACTCAAAAGAAAATTACCTAAAGTGAAATGTTGATGGTTATTGGTATCTCTTGAAAAAAATACAAAAAAAATATAAAATTAAAAAATAACAGGACGGGTAGTGTAGTTATTGGTGATCAATAGAATTTGAGGATTGAAGATTGGGGATTTGGAGGATTGTAGTGAATTATCTCTACAATTATATTATAGATTTTTATATGAAACTGGCCATACGATGTGACCAACCAGCAAGAGAAACAAAATGAAAATTTGACTTTTGTCCACTAAAATACATTAACTTTTATTACCCATCTAAAATTTATTTATTTCACTACCATAAAAAAAAAAAAAAAAAAAACAAAAAAAAAATTGGTATTACTCCTACGTACCACTTAACAAAATAGGTTACTATTTTCATTAGTAGGGCCTTACCACCGTCAAGCCACCCCTCCCCCCTCTGCCCCTCCCCGTGGTAGTTGTCGACAATAGCTCGACGCCAGCGACCCCACCCAGCCACCCTCTCCCCCTCCCTGCGGCGGCTGGCGGCACCCAAACAATACCTCGGCGCCAGCGACCTCACCCTCACCCTCCCCTTTCCCACTCTCGACTACCCTTAAAACCACCATACCCTTATTTTATTTGAAATATAAAACCCCCTTTTTCACCACCGTGCAGACCACTGCACCATTGAAATAAAGGAACAAATGGAGAGAATAAAGAAAATACCCACTTCAACCACCGTTAGCCAAGCAAATTTTAAATTATTGAGATTCAAAACCGAGGTTATAAAGGTTGAATTTGGTTTTATTTGTTTTAGATTGGGATTTGGTGGCCAAATTCGACCAACATAGCCTCGCTTTTGATAGTGGCCTGAATGGGGACGGTGAAGAGGAGAGATTGATGTTGCGGTGGTGTTTCAAAAACAAAAGGTGTGATGGTAGATGTGTGGGAAGTAGGGTCGCCAGTGATGCAAAGTGGGTGGGGGAAAGAGAAGGGGAGGGGTTGCCGATGCCGGGGGATCGTTTGGGCCCATACAGCCGGCATGGGGAGGGGTGGCTCATAGGAGGCAATGGCTGGGATTTTGTTTTTTAAAGTCTCTTCTTTTTTATTTTAATAAATTAAATCATTATTTAATGAAATATAGCTTTTGCTACCACTTAACGAAATCGTAACAGATTATGTTAAGTGGTAGAAAAAACTATATTTTGTAACTTTTAGAGGTAGCAAAATAAAAATAAAATTTTAAATAGGTAGCAAAAATCAAAGCAGGGTATTTTGGTGGAGAAAGGCTTGCCAAAAGGGCTCTAATCCCTGATTAACGTGAGTCTCCCAAACAAGAATTAACGTGAGTCTCCCAAACAAGAATTTTCTGCATGCCGTGAGGTTCGAACTCGATTTAAACGACATTAATTTATTTCAACACTTGAACCAAATCTTGTTGGTTCCTGTACCTTATTCATTTGAGAAATTAGAAATTTATGAACGTAACCCATTAGATTATAAAAACTGTTTATGCCTTG